CCCCCAAAACCCCAAAACCCCAAAACCCCAATATTCAAGAGAGATGTTGAAAGATTGATAATTTTGCAACCAAAACTTTCAAATGGAGTAATTCTAGTACTCTATTGAGAGTCCTTTTCTAAGATCAGACTTTGAATAATACCCTTGCTTAGTTTTTGGGAGGTTTTTATTGATCGTGTTAGTCATAGAGTTTTGAATCTTCTCTAAATCTTTTGCTATAGAAAGCTGTTTACAGCTTTCTATTGTTTTATATCTAGTGTCAGGAATACAAGCTCCTCCTCCCACAGAGATCTTGAAGAGAGAGCCATAATTCTGAGATCTAGCTAAGCTCGACTGCTTAGAAGCAGAGTTAATAATAGTTGTCATCGAGTTGTTAAACACCATCGGCTGTCCATTATTAAGCGTGCTAATACTACCTCTTAAGGACCTTAGGTATCGTTTCCTCGAGAAAGTCCTGCCAAAAATGTCTAGATCAACTGCTTTTGCTGGACAATGATTGCCCTGGCGAGGGACAGTGATTCTTTTGCATCCTTTATTAGCTTTCCTTTCTATCTGAAACTTTTTCTTTACACTCATTGAAATCTTTTCAATGAGCTTGTCGTACCTTTCAACCTTGTTGAGCTCAGCAGGCTTGAATCTTCTGTGGAAGATTCTTGAAGAAGAAATGGTTGGTTCTGATTTTAGAATATACGTGTTGAGTGATCTGAGAGTGCTCAGGGCAAGGCCTTTATAAATTGCTGTATTTGTGGTCAGGTTTTGGGAATTGGGGTTTTACGAAATTTAATTTTTAAGTGTTTTGCAGATTCAAGAAAGTGAGTTTTTGCATTTTTGGGCTTTTAGAATTTGATCTTCCAATGTAGGAGGTTGGAAAAGAGTAAGTTAAGGTCAAGTGAGCAGTGTAAAGTTTAAATAAGAGGGATATTTCAAGAATGGCAACTTTTGAGTAGAATCAATGCTGGTTTCCAAATTAAAAAGAGCAAAAATGGTGAAATTAAAATCCAGTTTCGAGTATATGGATGTTGCTGAGATTATCTTTATTTACCTTCAGGTTCAATTTTTTGCCACAAATCCAAAGCAATTCTGGCACTTTTTGTTAATATTTTGGTACAGGGAAGCTGAGAAAACTGTTGAGAATTTAGTATAGTTATGTCAGTAAGATCTTCTAAGGCAGGTTTCCTACCATAGAAGGATCCGTAGCTTGATTTATATTTGAGCTTTTGATACTCTTTCATTGCATCTTTAAAGTTAAATTTCCTCAGATCTAATAATTCTTTGACTTCTGGCTTCTTTTCCAAAGGCTTAAAGGCTATTGATAAGGAATACAGAATACTTTTCGACCCTTTATTTTGCACCACCAAATTTATAATTTTGAGTCCTGAATCTTAAAATGACAAACTACCTTTATTTTTCATTTTGAGTGGTTGCTCTTAACCATTCGAGAGCTGGTTGGAGAATTTTGTTCTAAAATAAGTCACTTAAACTATCCAAAACACAAAAACCCAGAGATCCAAAATGCCAAGAAATAGTGATTTATTTACAAAATCTTGGCCAAGAGGTTTCTTCAGTAAACTCTCGACAATTGCAGGATAATTAGTGGGCTCTCTCGGCTGTGAGTGTTCTCTCTTGATCTCTTTGGGACTAAAATCTTACAGCTTCCACTTACTTGTCTAGCCTTGTCAAGCGAAGATTGCTGCGGTCAGGTTGCAAACTCATTTTATTTATTTTATTTTTACTGGGGTTTTGGGGTTTTGGGGTTTTGGGGTTTGGGG